CCTGCTGAAATCCACTTGATCTAAATCTCATTCAGTGGCTGATAACATAGTTCCAGGAGAAAAAGGAGAAAAATAGCAGGAAGTTTTATGTGTGCACCTTAGCAGCCTTCATCCAGATCTCCTTTAGCTTGGAGAAGTAGTTTTTAATATCCCTTCATTTGCTTCATAGAATCATAGAATAGTTAGGGTTGGAAAGAACCTTAAGATCATCAAGTTCCAACCCCCCTGCCATGGGCAGGGACACCACACACTAAAACATGTCTCCCAAGGCTCCATCCAACCTGGCCCTGAGCACCGCCAGGGTCGAAGCATTCACAGCTTCCTTGGGCAACCCATTCCAGTGCCTCACCACCCTACTTGGTTTAAATAAAAAATAGTAGAATAGTAGAAAATATTAAAGAAAAGACTAGTAAAGATGCTATGCAAGTGTCATTGCAGACAATGGCAAATCCAGTGAAGCTTGCTAAATTCTTGGTTCTGTGACCTGTGTTGGAGAATTCTGTGGCTAAATTTTTCACTTGGTGGAAAAATCATGTTTACATTTGATTTTAAATTTACTGCCTTTTAATTTAGTTCTGTCTCCTCTTTATTTTTTATGACAAGTTAATAGGACTGTGAGTTGTAGTCTACTAGAGTGCTATTTACAGATAAATGTACAGCAAGCATCATTGTTATCATTTATGATAACAGCTATCTACAACTGGCATCTGTTACTGATAGTATAATATACGAGCTCACAAAACTTTCTAGATCCAAGTGCAACTGGTTTGGAATATTATCATTGCTTTTTTCAAAATCACTCACATTTTCATCATTCAGTAGTACAAATGTATACCATATGCATCCACTGACTAGAGAAAAATACATACATCCTTATTGACATGTTCTGAAACTACAAAGAAAACACAAATCAGGTCTGAATGCTTTAAGTAAATGTAAGAATTTGGATTAAAAATATAAACAAAGAGAGTCTAGATTTACAAATACTTGTTTTTATCAACTTCCCTTTGCTCTAAGATTTGTAGCTTATACTGATCTATGCAGTAAAGAAATGAAGAGATGATGGTGATGAAAGTTATGGAACAACTCATAAAAAAATTTCCTTGTTATCTGCAAATTATTCAACCATAGCGTTATGCTTTCGTTAAAGATTACTGGAAAATGTTAAAAAAGACAAATGGGTTATTACAAGGCATTAAAATTTCGGAATACTATTTTGTGAGGTCTGACATTTTCCTGGGTATTGTTCACAATCTACAGAGTCTGTATGTTACACATGCAGTTACTAATGGGAAACAAAATACCAATTTTGAGCAATTGAAATTGGCTATTTATTCCATGTTCTATCCAATGGATAAATGTATTTTCAAAGGTAAAGTGAACAAAAAACATGTCAGCAAGGAGCCTCAGAGCAGGAATCTCTAGTGCAATCTCTGATGGTGACAGTATATATTTATTACCCAGGCATCAAAATGCAACTGCAGGTGCAGTTACCATTTGGTTCTTTGCTCCTCAGGAACATGCTGCTTTATAATCACATGTGACAAGCTACATGCATAGCTACAGTGTCTCAAGCACCTTAAATCTCTCATGACTCTCAAACTCCTGTGTGCTGGGTGAGGAAACATTCCTAGATTTTTCCTGAGGCTTTAGGAAGCCCCAGCAGACATGGACATAGTGATGCTGCTGTAGTATTTGGTTCTGCCAATGTGGCAGAATGGAGTGCTCCTCATGTATACTGAGAAATTGCATAAATAGTGATACCTTCATTTCTTAAAACAGGAATAGGAAGGAAACTAATGAGTCACTCATGCTCTATGCTTTCACCATTATTTTATGAAAAATAAGACAATTGCATTTGGGGGAAAAAATGTTCTAAATACAATATAAAATAAATAAACTTACAGCAATGTTAGCAAGAAATAAGCCAGCCAGTGTTTCAGAAACCTGTTTTATAGAATCTATGTGCTGATTTACGGCATCATCAGCGAGTTACAATCTGATGATATTCTATGGCTCACACCAAGTCATTTCTTTGCCACTGAGGTAATATACTATAATATTTAGCTAGAGAGATGTCTTCTAGACTTGAGATTCATAAATTACTAACAGTGTTTTTTTCTTTATTTAAAGTAGTGGATGTTTGAATAATAAATACTACTAATACACACATTACAAAAGCCAGTCTTAGTTCTATTATGTCCTTTATTTTTACCTCACCACATACTCCATCCAGCACATGTCCTGATACAGGCTGCAGCTTATGGTGTGACCCACCATAAAACCCAGATCTTATGAAATCCACATGAATATAGCAAAATCCTCTTTTACCTTCCACTGTGTTTTGGTGGCATTGCACAGGCTTACTTTGATACTTACTAGAAAAAGGGTCAGTGATTGTATTGTTGAGAAGTAAGGTTTCACGGAAAATAACAGAAAAAAATGCTAATACTAACTTCTTCAGAATATGATTGTTAGATTCAACCAGTATTTCCCAGTCAAGTAATTATTTTACATCCAGAGATGTAAAATATGATCTGCCCTTAACAAGCATTTAAATCAACTATACAAGTTAATTACTTGCACTTAGATCAAACCACGTATTTTACTATACATTAAAATAGTTGATTAACAAAGCTTTCCTCTTCATTATACAGATTACATCCCAATGGAGACCAACAGAAAACACACCAGTAACTTAGTGTCTGTCTTATTTTCTATCATCTACCACGTACAGGGTTTTGGGGCTTTTTTTTTTCTTTCTTCATCAGCTGCAAAAGTGATGCTAGAGTAAATACCAATTCTACAACTAATCTGTGCAACTTTGAGCTGTGGACAAGCAATTTCACATCAGTAATTACTCTCGAAAAGTTGATGGAAAGGAAATCACACGTGGTTTGCAGTCCAACAGACAGCGATGTGAACAGAGGGGTGAAAAGAAGGTGAGTGATCTCAGTCTGGCACAGTGCGGTACCCACGGATGATGCTGCTGGTTTGTACAGCAACTGATGCACAGAGCATCCCAATAACCTATATTTGGGATCCATTACAGCTTCACAACTCATAATACAGCCTTACCCAACTTAGTTGGCTTAGCCAATAGAAATATAGAACCTTATGTTGTGGGATTTCTAGGTTTTTGTTTGGGTTTGTTTTGGGGTTTGTTTTTTTTCCAGATACATCTCTGAGTCCAGCTGCTTTTCCTATAATTGGTTGGTTTTTGAGTTTTTTTTTTCTTCCTTAAAAGCTGCAGTGTTTTTTATGTCCTTTACAAATGATGAAAACCAGAACATGAACAAACATTTCAACAGTATTGGTCTTGCAACTGCCTCATTCAAGGACATCATCTCCCTGTTCCTTATGTATACCATCTTCTTCTAGGTACTCTGCTTTACAAGCCTAGCACTGATTTTTATCCTACTCACAAGTACTTTGATGTACAGCATAAATGCATTTCATCCCATTACTAAAAAGAAAATCTCTAACTTCCCTGGATGTACAATTTTCACTTTTTTCCTTGAGCTGATGTTCCTTAAGTTACCAGTCCTTTATCTGTGGTCAGAATAAGAAGTCCACAACAATCATCCATTTGCACTAATAAAATATTATCTGACATTAGGTTTATTTTAGACACATAGGACTTTCCCTGTCTTTATAGCAGTTAGTCATTTGTGTACACTGGGAAGCAGCTCTTCAGCATACTTTATTTTTTCCTGGTGG